TTAATATAAATCGACTTTTATTCATCAAAACATTACAGTTCATTATCTCGATTGCATACAAGAGCAATGGGAGCATTCAAGGGCATCGCACAATACAATGTATGAACACTGAATTTTAAACGCTGCCACAAACTTTACCAAAGAATGTTGTGTATCACCAGAGGGTAAATCCTAAAAAAAGAAAAAAAATAAGTTGTTTTAATATAGCTCATTTTTCATAGCGTGAACTTTGGTAAGTTTTTTATATGTTCAAAATGTAATTGACTGGAGAGCAGTAGATAAACTTTAATGGGGTGATATAGCATGTTTATAGATATTCGCGTGACTGCGTGACTACACGTGCCTGCTATATGTGTTTGTGCGGGTTTGTATGTGCTTGGGAGAGAGAGAGAGAGAGAGAAGGGAGGTAGAGAGAGAAAGAGATAGTCAGACGGATTGACAGACGCACAAACTAACTGACACAGACAGACAAACAGGCATATAGACAAATAGACAAAGGGCTTGTCGGTGACATTATTATACATGTATGGGAGTTTAGTCGTTTTCTTGGAATTGATTGATGCTGAGGTCTGCAATTTCTTTCTCGAGAGTTTCTATTCGAAACTTCCTCTCCTCCATCTCGTGCCGGAGTGTCTGGATCTCCGTCCTGGTGTGCTGGATATGGAGCTCCAGTTTGAGGTTGACTTCCTTGTCCTGCTGCCTCTTCTTAAACGCCCTGAGCGCCCTCAGCCTCTTCGCCTCAATTGCAGGGTCCTCTTGAGGAGAAGATGACTGCTGTTCCCCCGACTCTAGAGAGCGAGGGTGAGCCGTGGGCCGGGTAGCTCTGGCCGCCGTCTTCAACCAGAGGATCATGATGGGGCGGAGGGAGAGCGAAGGGAGACAGGGCGGCTGACGCGGCGGGCAATACAGCGTAGGGGTTCGCAGAACAAGATGGGTAATTCGCGTCGCAGTAGCCGTAGGTCAGTGGCTGTGCTTGCGGAGTGTCACATACACTTTCTTCAAACTGACTTAAACTTTCTTGGCAATATGCTTCGTAACTTTGTGAGATCGACTGACCCGCACTGGTTGTTTCACCGCACCGTTCTACGGACGATTCACTCTTGTTTCCTTTGTACTGCTGGATTGTCTGCTCCAGCATCCTCATCCTCTGCATCGTGGCGTTTTTTTCTATTCTTAGTCTGTCTACTTCTTGGCTCGTCGCTTGGAGTTCCTGGAGGAGACGTTGCTCGTAAGCCTTGGCTTTCTGGCGAGCTTGGTGCGCTCTCAAGGCCATCGCCCGCCTCTTCTCCGCCGCCGCGTCGAGTGACCCATCGCCGTAGCCCGAGGCTTCTTTGCCGCTAAACATATTTCAAATACACCGCACTTACACGTCTCCCTCACTTTGTATATGATATGCCATATGAAGTGATAGCGACGATGCAGTCTCCGCTAGATGTCTGACCACCAGAGCCACACGGCAGAATGAAAGTGTAAGTCCCCCGCTGCTTAAATATACCGTGGCGGTCAAAACGTATGCCGCGGCGAAAACGTTTCTGACGCAGGTATTACGTATTGTCTTCTGCATTCATTCAAATCAGGATTGATAATAGAAACAGCAAAACGTATTTCACCTAAATCCGATTTTTTGAATTTGAGTGTCTATCTCAAGATTAATTCCATTTCTTCTTTCTCACCGTCGCCTCATGCGTGATTTCGAAGACCAAAACGTTTTTGCTTCTTGGCCACTTTTAAAGTTTTTACACTAATCAATCTGGGTATAACACGAGTAAAGTGTTAGTGCTTTAATTTTTCCAACATTCTTAACACTTCTGACGGAATGACGGAATTGAAGCAGTTGCAGCACCGGCGGCCGTTATTCTGAGATAATCTCCATGCTTCCTTGGCAGACCACGCTAGACTGAGCAGAAAATACCGTCCATCTCCTAAGTCGTATATGGTGCCAAAGATAGGCTTTCGCTTCATTATTTGATTTTTTTTCATTATCATAATTATTTTCATTACTATTATTATGATGATTGCTATTATTTTCATTATTATTAATATTATCATCATCATCACTATTATCATCATCATTACCATTATCATCATTATTATTATTGTCATTACCATTATCATCATTGTTATTATTGTCATTATTATTCGCATACCATTATTTTATCATTATTATTGTTATTATTATTATTATTATCATTATCATTACCATTATCATCATCATTACCATAATCGTCACTATTATTATTATCATTATTATTCTCATAACAATTATTATTATTGTTATTATCATCATTATTATTATCATTATTATCATTATTGTTATTTTTATAAAAAATCATTATCATTATTGTTATTTTTATAATTATTATCATTATTATCATTACTATTATCATCATCATTATTACAGTTGTCATCATTATCATTACTAGTATTATTATTATTACTAATATTCATTATTGTTATCATTATAGACCTACGTATTATTATCATCATTATCATTACTATTTTTATTATTATTATCATTATTACTGCCATTATCATTATCATTATTTTATTATTATTATCATTATTATCATCATTATTATTACTATTATTAGTGCTGTTGTTGATATCATATCTATTATCACCATCATTGTTATAATCATCACCATTACTATTATTCCTCTTATTATTATCATTAATAATAACAGTATTATTATTATTATTATTATTATCATTATTATTATTATTATTATCATCAGTATTATCATTATTATTATTATTATCATTATCATCATCATTATCATTATCATTATCATAATTGTTGTTATCATCATTGTTATGATTATTGTTTTTATCATTATTATCATTACTATTAATATCATTGACATCATTACCATTACTATTATAATCATTATTATCATTATTATTTTCAGTATCATTATTATTATTATTATTATTATCTTTATTATAATTGTCATTAGCATTAGTATTATTACTATTATCATTATTATCAATATTATTACTACTACTCATAATAGGAGATAAATGGTTTGCTCATCTCCCAACATCTGCGTCAGTAATGCAGAAACAGTCGCCAGGCCGTTAACTTCAGGTGATTCTTCAGTTCACGGTTGATAAATTACTGTGTATATACTTTGCAATTTCGCTGACGTTTGTATCCCTGGCGAGGATGTAATCGCAGCGGCCAGGTACTTTTTCCTGCCCCGTGGAAAGGCTTCTCGTTCATACCTTTCCTCTAGTTGTCGCAATGGACGCGGTTCGTGGCATATGATTTCAGGCTTAACGAACGAAAGGATGTACTATTATTAGAAGTATCAGTATTAGTAAGTGTTGTTAGTATTATTATCATCATTACTATATTATTATTATCATCACCATTATTATTTGTAACAATATCATTACTTTGTTATTATTATATTCCTTAACATTATCCTTTTTATCACACACACACACACACACACACACACACACACACACACACACACACACACACACACACACACACACACACACACACACACACACACACACACTCCAGATAGAAGTAAAAAATAGCTTACAAATAAATTTTTAAACTAGCCCCATTGCAGAACTGACGTCATTCTTTACGAGCGCGACGGCTCCCTCAAGACGATGGTTGTTATAACAATATCCACAACACAACCGTCACTAAGGCTATCATCCCCACAGCCTTTCCGCGGCATCCAGCCCGGAGAAGCGCAGTGGAGGGCAGTAGTCACGCCCATTAATCTGAGACAGGTTTCTTCTTCGAGTTAATGAAAGGCTTAATCATCATGCAACATTTATGGTTATTACTATAGTTGTTGTTGTAGTCATCATTGTAATTCATCGGATAAGTTCGCTCATTATGATCATTTTCATTATTATAAAATGTTATTGTTTACCACGGCTGTTCCCATTACTAATAGGATCACTACCATAATTATTACCAGTTGTAATTATCAGTTGTCAATATATTTTTTTGTTACCATTGTTAAATTATTGCCATTGATCATCATTACTGAGGTTATCTAATATACACATTTTTTTTCAGTGGCGTGACCCCCCCCCCATTCGGCATCCGATTGGGGGGGGGGGGGTCATCCAGAGAAAATGAGTGATTTTGAAATTTATATCTAAATCGGTGTTCATTTCATATTTCATCTGTTTACACATTCAAAATATCTCCATCTCCCATAACATTTCCCAGTACTTGAACCGAATCCATGTTGACAAATGTAGAAAAGGTATGAATGAGAATGGATATCTTCAAATACATCTCTTGTATTGCGAAGATATCCATTCTCATTCATATCTTTTCTACATTCTCAGTACTTATACGTGAGTCATGGGGCACACGGAGGAGGCCCCAGCACGACGAAACTGCACGTCACTGTTTTCCTTATGCAAATGCTACATATTTCATATATATTTCGATTGTTTTCTTTATTTTTTATCATCATATTTCAATGAGAAAACAAGTTGATTCTATCGCCACTCTATTCATGATCTCGTATTATTACGGAACTTATCACCAACCGAGCAGGGTGGCAACACGTAAAGTTGCAAGATCCCACCTGCCGCTCATTCAGGGAAGTGGGAACTGAGACGGATTTGTAAAAAAAAAAAAATAATAATAATAATAATAATAATAATAATAGCTCTATTAATATCTCAAATATGATTTGCCACTTTTAGAAATTACAGAACAAAATTGCTGACAAGGTTGACACTTGTAATGAAAGCTGGATTCTCTTCACCACAGTTCATATCTGCATCACATCCTGTTGTCATGCTCTTGCCATAATTCCTATCATACACATATTTTTCTTTTTTCTCTTCATTTTTGTTATCCTTCTAGTTAGTCGTATACCTTTATTATTTCTCTTTAATTAACTATAAAATATCCATATATGTATAGAGCATTAGACATCATTCTTTAAAAATCTAATGGCATATGGCATTTTACTAGAGAAATTCCACGAACACAAATTTTCCTATAATGTACAACAAAAATGTTATGATTTTCGGTTGATTTTCTTCTTATTTCGCCTTTCATTGTTTCTAATTGATATTTCATTTGAACATTTCTCACATTATCATATTCGTAATGTAAGTAACCATTCTACTGGCAGCACTTACTACTGGTGGGCTTTGTAGCGTCTTTGCCAAACGAGGATAAATCAAACTCCAGGAATATATTCATATATTATTTGAGTCCGTTTGCATGTGATATGGTATGGCATGAAATGAGATGTATAGTGTTTACATTATTATATAAAAACATTAGCTTTTTATCTTAATACAGATGAAGCAGGAAAGTATGACATTTATATGTACAACCTTAAGATTATGGTTTCCATACTGCAGTGATATGCGTACAATGAATTTTAAACGATAAACATGTAACAGATTGACATGACGCATACAAGAAAAGAAGCATGGAAATGTTTACTACCTTAACATGCTTTTTACAGCCAGTAGAGAAATGTCTTATCCACTTAACTATAGTCAGTTTCATTACAGACATGGGAATTCAATCCCCTTTTTCTCGAGCTCAGTTCTTAACTTTTCCTCGTGCTGCCTCATCCTCTTCAGGTCTTCGAGCAAAGCATTCTTCTCCTTAATGGCATCCTCGAGGTTCTTTTTCATCTGTTCGTATTGGAGTTTCTTCAAATCACGATTTTTCTTGGCGTTAATAGCGTTGAGTCGCTTCTTCTCGTCATTCATGTTTGCGAAAGGCTCTTCCCGCTCGTAGGCTTTC